ATGCACTTTATTTTATTCATCTTGAAAAAGCAATTCATAGAGATTTACACTCTGGAAATATATTATTTTCACAATTTAATGATACATGGTCTATTAGTGATCTTGGATTTTGCGGGCCTGCTGATAAATCATCAAAAAGTATATATGGAAATCTTCCTTACATAGCACCAGAAGTTATTAATGGAAAAGGATATACTTTTGCATCTGATATTTATAGTATTGCAATACTTATGTGGGAAATTTCATCTGGATATTCACCATTTATTGATTATAAGCATGATGATTATAATCTTGCAATGGATATAATTAATGGCATGAGACCAGAAATTATGTCAGATATTCCTTTAGAATATAAAAATTTAATGGTACAATGTTGGGATGCTGATCCACTAAAAAGACTTGATATACAATCTCTTCAGAAAAAAATAAGTGAAATTCATCTATCATATCAAAATATGCCAGATGAATTTTTCCAGCCAAAAGCAGTGAATAATTTTGAAATAAAAACTAGTACAAATCATATAAGCAGCAGATTATTTACAAGCAAAGTTCATCAATTTGAAAATTTACCCGAACCAAAAAATGCAACAGAAGGTATTATTTATTAAGTTTTTTGTTTATTGATTAAGGTATGATGACGTTACTAATTTTTTTTAATTTAAATGATTATACTCGTTATAGAAGAACAAGAAGGTTAACTTTTTATATTGCTATTTTATTAACTATTATAATAATTTATAACCTATTTTTCTTATTTTTTTAAATAGCATTTCATAGTAAAACATATGATTTTAGTATTCCTGATAATAGTAGGTATTTATTGTGTATTTCATTTGATGAAATATTTATTAATAAATTTTCGTTTTTTAGTTGAAGATTTTAATAATTCAAACGATCAGAAGATTAATAAAACATCAAAAATAAATAGTATTTTTGAAGGTAATTTATTTATACAGTATATTCAGATTTTTGAAATAATGATACAAATTTATCTCAATTTTAGGTGATAGTAAAAGGTTATCTAAAGTATTTGAAGGGTTACAAATAAGTTCAAAAAATGGTAAGTAATACTATTCTAAATTTTAATCGTATATTAAGCAATATTTATTATAATCTTACTTATTTATTTAAAAATTTAGACATTCCAATTGATTATAAGAATGAAACAACGCAACAAATGAAAGGATCAGTTAATGACAAGTAAAATTTTTTTGCTATAAATTTTTCATTTTATTTTTGCAATGTTTAAATTAAAAACTTTTGTTCTTTTATAGATGATGATGAAATACATAATAATCCAAATCTTCATTCAGAAGATCAAGATGATTTTGAGATTCCCGATAGTTAGTTTCTTTAATATATTTATATTTTTCTTAATATTGTATAAACAATATCTTTTATTTATATGTATTCTTTTTTTTTTAGATGGATTTTAAAATAACAAACGATATTGGAAATTTTATTTTGAATTATTTAAACACTAAAACTAGAGTAGTAAAATATTTTACGCGTTTCTTAGTTTGTAATTTAAATAATTTTTTTTTTTTATTTACTATATATTATCAATAAATTTAAAACTCTCATCACTGATGATTTTATATTGCTTTTTGACATCCATTTTTCCAAAGTTGTGATAAGCTGAATAACTTATAAATCTAACCAGTTGAAAACCGCAGTTTTAAAGTCGTTGGCATATAATCTTTAACATCCTTTTACAAATCTAGATTGCCGGCTCAGGCGTAGATCGTCGTGGAATTCTAGTGGATTATTTTCTGCAATTAAACGCTCCGGATGATCGGCAATCAGGAATTCGGCTCCGTTTTTGGATAACTACTGATAATGCCAGAATTACCTAGTGAATTATTAATTGTGGGGCGCAGTATTATATTTAGTTTAAGTGTACAAAATTTCAAAGTATTAATTGTGGAATGTTATCCGTAATACTGTAAAACTATTCTTGTGTTCTTATTTATTTTTAGATTTGAGTATGTGAATTAGGATCGTAGCACTATTATAATAAGAAATGGGATTAGAGATCAATTTTTGGGAATTTTTCGAAGTTAATATTTATCAAAATAGAAACCTATATTTTTGAAAAAGTACTTTTGTGAAGAAAAAGGTTTCCTAAAATCAAAACCCGTTTGCATGAAAATTGGAGATTTCAAAAAGGGAAAACCAAAATATTTTTATGAACTTTTAAATTATTTTAATGATTATAAAAGGCAAGAAGATTATTTGACTTAGAAAAATGGGGGATTTTTAGAATTCTATTTTTGATAATTTTTAGTATTACGTTATTATTAAACCAAGCATTATATTATATTGTATTATTATATTCGTGGAACTTTACGTTATTAATAAAACATCATTTTGTTAAGACTGTGTTGGCAACGTAGTTTACTACGGGCGTAGGTCTTACACTATACCATTATAACAATTTCGGCTACGGTTTAACTATTGCTATGTAAACCATTAGTCAATATAGCTTAAAAAATGGAATCAAGTAACAATATAAATAGTTAAAATTTTGGATATACTGTACATTATCATTATGTCTTTGCGGCTACGCTACTCATATTCATGTGCAAAAGTTTTTGGCGTTTCTTGAGAGCTTCTCTATTTATTTTTAAAAATTTTGTATACTGACGATGATAGCTCAAAAGTGGCTGATTTGATTAATTTGTATTATAAATTGAACATTCAATGATATGTCTAATATATTCAGTTATTCACCAAATTGTGTGTTGTATGATTATTTATTACGTGTTCAATGTTTAACTCCGTTTCATGTGACCTATTCTTTTGCTGTGCCTCCTTAAACCAATTTCGAAATCAATATTAGTTGCGATATATGGTTCAATTCTTTAAGGCAAGTAAAAAAAGAATTAATTACGCGTAATATTTAATAATATTGAAGTAGTACATTTCGCTTTATAATAAATTTAATTTGTATAATATGATCGAATATTCATAACTTTTTAACAGAAATTATCCATTCTTTATGGCAAGGCTTATCTGTAACATCAGTTAAAGGTTACATCTGATTAAGATAGAAGATAGATATAGGTGGAGTGGTGTGATTCACCCATTGTCACATGGTGCTATGACTTATGACATTGTTTGCGTACCTACTATATACTGTATATAGTTAAGACTAACTGTATAAATAAATGTGATTTATTCGTAATAGAAACTTTCAAGAACTTAAAAATAATTTAATATTTATAAATATTTTAACACAATTGTGTTAATTTACCAAAAATGGTCCTAATTTGCTGCAGTGTGTGTGTCGTCGAGAACAAATTAACCTGTGATTACATATTATGCAATACATATCTGATATATCTGTTTCGTGTGTATATAAATTGTGAATAAAAAATTTTAATTATATTTATTGATTAAATTTCCAATTCATTAAAGATCATATAAAATATGGTATTTTATCGACGAGCCGCCAATGCAAAATAGATTTTTACCTTTTCTTTAATGATTATCAAAGATTTATAATAGCAAAGTTATTATTATTACGTGATGATGAAAATAAATAAATAAATATATTTAAAGTGTTCATTAAGGCAATTCCACATGTTAGAACTTTCAAGTCATACTTCAAATAAATTATCAAAAAAATAAAATTAGTAGGGAATTTTTTTGGTCATATTTTCCATATTTTATTATACTGTATATGTACTATATATACGTGTAAATAATTCTTGTTTAATGCACTTTCGTAAGATAAAATTTGGCTAAAAAAACGGATAATAAAACAGTTAACTATGAAGCGTGATGCTCAGATGACAAATTTATTCAAATTCAGGACGATAATCAATTTGAAAATAACCATGTAGATCATTCCTTTTTTTGATAATTCCTACTAAAATTTTGTCGCTTTTTTTTTAAATATTGGCTGGAATTATCATGATTACGGCCCTGAAAATGTACGTATATCTAATAGTAAAAATATTTTTTTGCCATACCTTATCCAATATACCCTATTAAGGTAGATAAATATTTTATAAACTAACTCTATCGGTATATGTGTATGTTACTATAAGTGAAAGATCCGGCGAGGAAGAGAGATAAATTTGAGCGAAATCCAATTATCATCTTTTTAATTAATAGAAATATTTTCTGGAAGCATATTAATACTGTAAGTCACTCGTTAATTGTAGTGAATAGCAAGTGAACAAGTCATGTATACATTATTTCATAAAATGAATATACCTATTTATTTTTGTCTTCGTCTTTTAATATTAAGAATTGCACTAAAATTTTTGAAACTGCTGGTGAATTCTTAAAATATGAATAAGAGCCAAATACTTTTAGTAGTTTCACAGTAATTTTCATATTGTGTTTTATACCAAATAATTCCATACATGATATCGTAACATTTCGGAATTGTTAGCAAATTAAATTAATAATTTTGTTCTTAATTTTAATTTACTGTATATACTGTACCTTTGTTGACTTGAACAGCGTTAAAACTTAGCCTTATTTAATTACAACTAAATTATATCTTGATTATATTGAGAATATCTTCTTATATGACATATTAAATCAAACTTTGTCTTTATTTACAGAAATTAAGCATGAATATTTCCTTTGTTTGAACGAATTAAAATTTATGAAATCACTGTTTGAAATAACAAAAAATGACACAACCAAATTCAACATAATATGAATACATTATATTTTTCATGTAATTAAGATTTTATTATGAATAATGAAATAAGTATTCGTAACTCGTAAGAACGATCCTCGTACAAAAAAAAACAAGATATTGTAATTATATAAATTATTTTCCGTATTTGTGGATATCCGTCGGACGGTTGAACGAATAGTTAAAATATTGACGGATTTTATTTTTAGAGTATCATCCGTTTTAATAATACATATAATAGTAAAAAGAGTAGCAATATCAGATATATATACTGTATATTTTAATATTAAGTACATTTAAAAAAAAAAAAAAAAAAATTTTTTTTTTTTTTTTAAATACATAAAAATAAATTTGATTATTTATCTTCTTTTTTATCCTCTTTATCAAACTTATTAAATTTATCCTCTTTACTATAAACTTCTTCAATTTGATCATAATCTTTATCAACTTTAGGTTTCTTTTCAGAAGGTAAACCGAGTAAAATTATAAGAAAGAACATAATATAAATAGTAAATGACCATACACAAATTATATTTGCTGCTCTTATTTGACATGCTAAACGTATTGTTGATGATTTATAATTATAATTTTCTGGACAAAAAAATGGTATCTCTCCTAATTCATTTCTAGTTGATATTGTATATATAACTATTATTTATTTTATCATATAAAAAAATTAGTAAAAATGTTTTCAATTTTTTATATATTATATTATAAAATTGAATTATTACCTAAAACGGATATCCAAATAAATGGTAAGAAACAACTTTATTATTATTAAAAAATAAAAAATAAATTAAATTAAATTAAATTATTTCAGTTAATAAATTTGATCAATTAAATAAAGAATTTTGAATTAAAAGAATTCACCTTAATGATTTAGCAGAATTTTCTGCCATATTATTGAATCCACGAGAAATACATATAGTACAACAAAATAATACGACTAAAATAAATAAATATAAATTAATATGATTTGTATATAAAAATAATCATACATTTAAAGGATTTATACTTGCCAACCATTAAAAATGAATAACTCAAGTATCTAAAAAAGATAATTGATTTTTTTTTAAAAAAAAATTAATAATAATAAAAAGAATTGACAATGAATGATAATGAATTTCGACCAACTTACGCGTATTCTATATCATATAACTTTAATTCACCATTAGTGTGATTAAAAATTATAATTTTTGCGATATCTATTTTTTTTTAAAAAAAAGAAAAGAAAATTTAAAACACTACTTCTTAAAAAAACGATGTATTGGGAAATGAAATTTTACCTAACGCTGGACAAACTAAAATTAATAAAGCAAGAGGAATGCTCAAACATCCTATAACACACTTTCTAAAATTTTTATATAAAGACATAATTTTGTAAAATGTGACGAAAAAAAAAAATTAATTTTATTTTAAAAAAAAATAAACGGTGTGATTCGTGTGATTCATATTTTTCGCCACTCAAGGGTAATCAGGATTGTAACCGGTAAGAGGTTTACACCGCCACATAATCTTTCGGGCCGGGCCAGGGTTATGTGATACTATATTTTACTAGTCAAAATGTGGATCAACCGGATATCTTTTCACCCCATTAGCCTGATCGGCAAAGGATATAACCTTATCCATCGTGTCTCAAATGCATAGGTTATATCCTCTATGGAAACCACGGTTTTTATTGGCCAATATTAAGCAGTGATCATATGACCTTATCAACGCGGACATTTTTGCCCTCAATATTTTGAGGACATTTTTGTCCT